AGACCGATTTCTGTCATCTGGAAATTAGTGCTAACGGCCTTGAACCCTTATGACGAAGTCATGTCCAAAATTTGTTGCAGATGTGAGCATAAGATATTGAATTTGCGTCCTGTCTTCTACTGAGAGCCGTTGTATAATCTACTTTCCCCAAAAGCTCCCGCCTACTTTGCTGCCAACGTAAGCAAGTAAAGCTGATATGCATATATGTCCTCCTGTGCCTCAACCATGCTTGCTGATGTCCTCCTGAACCCCCAATTGCTCTCCTTGTAGGAAGGCTGTCTGAGGCTTACTGGAGGTAAAACGACGTGACCAGGACCCGGACTTTGATCTCCTTGCGATTCGAAAGCGGTAGGCTCCGATGCATGCCGGTGTTGCGTGACAGCAGGCCCATGGCCTGACGCGCGACCCTGAAGGTGGAATACGTTTCTTCGGTCAGTTCCGCCTTGCCCTCCTCCGCCTTGATTTCAACCCATACGCGCGAGCGGTCTTCGAACTTGGCACGATCATCAGATTTGCTTGGGCCTAGTGTCACGGTCAGTTACCCAGCACCAACTCGTCTCCAGCCATCAGGTCGTCGAGGAACAATACATACCAACAAGATACTTGATGAGGCTGCGTACATTCGCCTTGCTCTTACCCACCCGCATATGGTGGGTCTGCAGCATGATAAGCAGGTACACATGTTTCACGTGTGAAAAGTTGTCGATGAAGTCAACCAGCTGCGAGGGGCATATTGAGTCGCATTTGAATCCAGGGCCGCACAAGCGGTGCGATGAAGAGTAGTTCTGACCTTTGAGTCCGCCCGCGTGGTTGCCGTCGATGCGGATGCCAATGTTGCGAACATCGGGTCCCAGCGTGCGAATGCTCGCCGCCTTGTTGATGACCAGCCGCCAATCGACAGCGGTGTGACTCGGCTCAAAGCAATACACAGCCAGGTCCCTGTTCTTGCGGACGGTGCTGAGAGGTCTTTGCGCGATCTGTCGGTGCGTGCCAATGTGTCGTTCAACGAGCTGACGCATCTCGGGGATGGCTTCGATGAGATCGTCGCCCCAACGCCACTTGGACTCCTTACTCATGGTGCCAAGAGTCATGGCACAGCATCGTCGTCGCTGAACATAGCGAACAGTCACGTAGCTTATGTTGGGATTCATGTCGGAGAGGACCTCATCATAAATGTCGTAGCGAAGCTCAATGGGCAGTCTTTCGAGGAGAAAGCTCTTGTCCTTGTCATCGGGGTTCTGCAGCCAGGTGCCGGCAGGCGTGACCTTGCGACCCTTGAGCATTGTTCGAGCAACGGCTTGGCTAGTGACGGCAGATCGATCCTCTGCGCGCGCCTGTCTCTCACGTGTTTTTCTGGCGGCTTCTCTGATGTCGGCAGAGTCTCGGCGACGGTTTACCCGCTGTTTGTTGCCAGTAGGTTGTTTGGGCATGGAGGATAATGACGACCTTTTCACCTGCATCGACGATCGGTTAGTTGTGATCAAGTCATGGCTGCAAGGTTCAACTTGAAACTCACGCGTCTGGCCATGGGTTGCTTCATCGTGCTGACTACCTACTAAGGCTTTGATATTGGTGATTCAAGTCGATCGAGTGCAAGGTCGAACCACTAGAGAAATAGTTTAGAGGCAAAATGATGGGTACTGGCCTTTTGTAAAGAACAATCCATCTTGACTGATTGAGGCATGCGCCCAAAGGGCAGTTGCCGTTCCACAATGAAAAGGCAATAAAACGGGCAGCGACCCTTTCAGTAGGCGCTAGAATATCCTCGTAAATACTCAGTGATGCACCAGCAACACGAAAGGCGTAGTCAACTTCAAGATGCAGACGAGGAAGCAAGTCTTGAGGGTTGTTTCACCTCTCAATTCGTTAGCATATTGACGTTAAACGGGACCGGTCTGCAAAACCTCCTCGTCTCACCAAGGTACATGCCGTTACTATTGTCCTCGACGCGACTTCCTGCATCTCCGCGTCTCTCCAAAGAAACAGATCCCGCGCCACAAGTCACCCTACCCAAGACATAATCGTGACACGCGCCGGTCCAAGAGCCAATGCAGACAGCCACCACGCATCTACTTGCGTTCCTCGAACTCGAATTGCCCTGGCTGGGCTGCACCTCTGGGTTCACTGCCATCCAGCCCGCCGGCGCCAACCATGCGTTCGACAGCGTCCCGCGCGGTCGACGTCGGCATGCGCCCCGGCAGAAACACCTGCTGGGCTCCAGGCGGCTGCGCAGTGAATGGAGACTGCCCCGCCGACCCTGGCGTGCGGTTGCTCGGATCTACGAACATGTCTTCGTCACGGCCGCTTTCGGCAGCGAACCCATCCGCAAACTTGGCGTCCCTCCGCTGCTGCATCGCTGCAGCACTTGTTGGTGTGTCCCCGCCCATGATGACATCCCCGCGGCTTCTCGGCGTGTCGCTGAGTCCCGAATTGTTCCTTTCCAGCCCCCACTGCACACCGGAACCACTCTGCGCGTTCACCAGGCCAGGAATCGGCCGGCGGTGGTAGATGGGACCGGAGACGGTACTGTTGGCGCCTTCGCCAAAGCCTACGAGGCTTGCCGAGCCGTCGTCGCTCATGCGATCCTCGTAGCCACCGACAGATCGGGCTGTGCCATCTATGTCCTCTTCCATGTGATCGGGTTCACCAACGCTGGTGACGGAGCCCGAACCTCGATAATTTGTATCCGTACTCTGCAGATCCTCGTCGCGATCGCCCGGGGCTGTGCGTGTCTCGTCATCGCCGCCCGCATAGCTTGCTGTGGCGCTGGCTGTGCCGACCGTGCTCATCTTGGTGGCGGCCGTTGGCTGGCCCTGGGCATCGAAGTAGGCTGGTGTCGGGTTCGGGTTGGTCGAGGGGAAGCCGTATGTCGAGGTGGACGCGGTCTGCGGCGAGAGAGAATTGACACCGCCGCCAAGCTGCTGCTGGCCCGAGGCGCGCAGGGTTGAGACCCGCTCGAGGCCGGCAAGGCGCGAGATGCGGTCAGCGCGCTCGGCCTCGAGGCTCTGGGTCGAAGGGTTGTGAGTGTGGCCTCGATCGGCATGTCCATGGGGAAGATGCCCACGTTGGCCGTCCTTGATGGCTGTGGTCGAGAGGGCGGACATGGAGGTGGTGGTGCTCGTGGGCGTGCCGCTGTTGCAGTTTCGGTCAGCTCACTGGACTCGCGAAGAGGAATTCTGGGTGACGCACGGCATCTCCGAGGGCGTGTCCGGGTTTGAACCTGGAGGAGGCAGGTTGATGAGAGTGGGGTGAGGCTGCGCCATGGTGATGGCGGCAAACAAGCTGATGAAGAGCTTGGTGGAGGAAGAAGAGTCGGTTCAGCCGCCGATACGAGGGTGATGAGGAGCAAAGGGATTGTGCTTCAGGTCGACGGATTGGTGGTGGAGGAGTGGTGGTGGTAATAAAGGCACGGGGGAAGAAAGTTAACAATCGAGAGAAGAACAAGCTCAGGGACCTGCCTCCTGTGCACCCCCTTGATGACATGCGTGTCTACCTACGGTGCTGGATGCAGGTGCAGGCGGCGCAACACAATAGCGTGGGAAGGGATGTGCTAGAGCAGAAGTGAGGCGCGCGAGTGGATTTTGGGGGGGGAAGGGCCCCGTTGATCCATCCTGCCCAGTGCCCAGTTCATTGCTGCCCCTCCAAGCCCTCCGCTCCACTTGACTGTCTGCCGCAGGTAACTGTGAACAGCGTCGTGCCTGCCTGACTGACTCCCTGTTTGTCCAGCCTTCCTTCCATCCTGGTCGCTTCGCTCGTGTTCGTCCTCGATTGCCCCTCCCCTGAAATTCCCCAGCTGTGGGGGGCCGAATGACGTACTGCACCGAGGGGGATGCAGGGACTCGATTGGCCTGTGGGTATCGGGGTGGGGGCCATCCTCAGCCCCGCCTCTTTGCTTTGGCTTTGGGAGTGTGTGACCTGCACGACGAGCTCTGTCGAGCATCATGCCGCTGGCAACGAAGAACAAAACAGTTTAGGAGAAATGTGTCTGCATCCGAGACGTCTTCCATTGCATCGTCTTCGTACCGAAATCCAAAATCGAGCTGGCCACCGAGATACCAACGGAACCCTTCGTTCACGGCCAAAGGTACCAGTCTGCCTCACCCGACCGCTAGCGGTTCACGATGTCCAGCTCTCCAGGCGGCGCAGGCTACCCAAAGTTTCAATGACACTAGCCAGCGTCGGGAGTCACCAGCGTGTATCCCATGAACCAAAAGAATCAGTGCTGTTGGCCATGATGTTCCGAATCGATTGCAACACTGCCGCGCACGCAAATGGTGCTCATGGTGCTGCGTCCAGGTATGTTGACGTGAGAGACTTGCGCGCTGGGGAGGCCAGGGCAGGGTCAATCGGAGCCTAGGCGAAGACGATTGCGTTCAACTGCACGAAAGCTTGGCATATGTCGCATGGCTTCCCCAGCCCTACTACCATTCGGTTCAGATATACGTGTATCGCAGACTGCCATTGTCTGATCACTCGCCCTATCTGCTGAGACAAACATTGGAGCACAATACGCAGCCGAATTGTCGCGGATCTAAACCCATTGAGAGATCGCAAAACTGGAACCGTCATGCACGATGTGGAAGGGAAAATGACCAGAAGATATGGAGGAATTGAGCTGCACTACCAGCACAACTCTCATCCCCTGGGACTCTGAAGGAACCCCAATACTCCAGTGTTGTACTGTGTTACAGGCTCACCGTCGCATCGTTCGGGACACGGCGGACCAGTTCCCCGCAAACCCACTATCCCCAGACTGGGGTCCCGCTCCTGAAGCCTTCTGATCATCCAGATTCCAATACCATTCTTGACTTTGGCTTGTCAGGTTTGGTCAGCAGATCGTCAACAGCAAATGAGAGATGCCTCGAATCCCCAAGTCATTCATCAGCGCAACAGCGGCAACGGCTCGCACACGCCCCTCCATACTTACCATTCCCTGTCATATCACCAATCCTCCTATTTCAGACCAAATGCTACCGGGGTACTCTCCGGAGACGCAGAACTCAGAAAACGCCAGGCGCAAAATCTACTATCGATATCTTGGCCGTCATGTCCGACAGTTCCTCGCAAAACTTGCGATGCTGCTGATCTTCATTGACGTATATTCTCCGATCATCTTCCGTCTCAAACTCGGTCACAAAAACGTGCGTCATGCCGCCCTGTCACTGTCGTCAATTATCCAAGGGACCTCCCGGGTCAGCGTCTGTGCAGGAGACTTCTTACCTGACGACCCTCGGTGCTATGGTCAATGCCCCCTGTGATCGACTTGATGAGAGGCTGTCCCGTAGTCGGGTGAAGACAGCTGGCCTTCAGCGCGAGAGCGCCGTCGCAGATCTGACACGTCAGTCTGTTGCTGGCGAAATGTGAGAGTGATAAGCTAACTCACAGACTTGACCTCCTCGTCGATGACGAGCTCCTTGAATTGAATCTGGGTCACTTGGACGAACGGCATTGTGATCTTTTCTTGTTTTCGCCGTTCAAGTCGGGCAATATTGGACTTTCAGGATGTACTGTGAATTTTTCAATCACACACGAGCTGAACAGGTCCCTCCTCTCATTAAGAGGTCGTGCCCGCCACTGACGGCCGCACAACGTCATGAGGGGTAACGACGCGCACGGGATAGGGCCGTGAGGGGAACAGATCATCACCAATGCCGAGAAACACATTGGCAAGACACGACGCTTTTTTCGCATGTCAGTTTTTCTGCGGTATTGATGTCAGGGTGACGAGGACACGATAATTTTTCGACAGCGAACAGAAGAATCTCCATTATTAGATATTAAGTAAAGTTAATTCAACATCTTTTCGAAACGAAACCGTCCCCCTTTTTGCTCCGTTTGCACCGGATCCAGAAAGAGAGGGCTTCCAAAGCCCACCCCCCCCTTTTGGGCATGCGCAAGATCCGCGTACACAAGTCTGTTTTTTCTTCTTCTTTTCAGTTGGTCTTTATCGTTTTGGTGTCCGTTCCCGAAACATGAAAACTCCCGCAGCAGGAGAGCTTTACATGAAGACGGCGAGACCGACGGGCAGGGCGCCGAGCGCGATGAGCAGGGGCAGGAAGCCGGCGTCGCGGAGCGAGGGCTGGCCGCTGACAATGACCTGCGAGGTCTCGGGGCTGGGCACGGGAACGGGCACAACGGTGGCGGGGGGCTGGACGGGCTTGTTGGCGGTGACGGTGTGCTCGGGCTCGGGGTGGGGGTTGACGGGGGGGGTTGACGGGGGGGTGGGACGGGGACGGGCTCGGGCTTGACGGGGGGGGTTGACGGGGGGGTGGGACGGGGGACAGGCTCAGGCGTTGG